ACCGTTTTGAAATTTTCAAGTAACTTTAGTGACCATTTGTGAAATTAACCCTTAAGGAAAATAACTCGGTTTCAATTAATATTGTTCTATTTATATTACATTTTTTATTTTGGATTAATCGTGTGACAAGAAATCAAGAACGAATCGCGATAATTTAGGATGAAAAGTAATAATTCAAATTTGGTCCAGTTTTTTTAAAAGACTTGATTCCATGTTGTCTTTCAATAGGGGAAATTGTAGGAAAGGTGATAAAGGGATTTTGCAAGTTTTAACTTTAAATGCACGTCTTGTTGTCAATATTTTTCATAAAAAATATAATTTTTCCACCTAATTTCTTACTTTTACGTTGTTTGATTGACAATTTTTTCTCAGAAGATATTTTACTACTTTTGATCACGTGATTATATTTTTATTGAAAACAATGAAAATATTTTCTTTATGGAGATGTGATTTTTATTTTTCATTTAATTCATTCACTCATTCACTCACTCACTCTCTCTCTCTCTCTCTCATCTATCCTCTCCTTTTCATTTATCCATCAGTAAAAAATAGACAAGTATAATATTTTTTAGGATGAAAATTAAATCAATCAAACACAATTAATTAATAATTTTCATACAAAAAATTTCTAGGCAATCGAATTGCTTATAATTTAAGGATAATTGCAGTAAAGCCCCAAACATTAACAGACTTTCCCCAAACATTTGATTTGTTACAGCCGTCACCCCTAACATTTTCAAACGTTGCGGTGAGGCCATTTTGGATGGTTTCCGTCCATAATTCTGTCAGTTGACCAAAAATTTAACTTGACCACATTTTTAATATTTTGAGAAGGGACAAAAGAGTAACTTTCAATTTATCACATTAAATAATTAAATAAAAAATAAGAAATAAACAAAAAAAAACACACCCACACCACCCGTGTCTTCTTCCTCTACCTTCGACCGCTACCACCTCCAACTCCACCTCCACCACAAACTCAAACCCATAATCGACGCATTATCTTCCGCTTCGAGTTAATTAAATCACTGCTCACTAACATTTAGCTCTGATTACTACTTGCTCACCAAAAAATAAATAGTTACTGGTTGCTCACTCACTTTTACAAAAAGTTACCCATCCATCACCCGATTGCTTCCATCCACCTATGTGGACAAAAAAAATACACGTGGCGGATGAAAATTCGATGTGTCAAACTAACTCCGTTAATTATTGCCACCTGGACATTGAATTCACATTTTTCCCTTCAAATTACCAACACCCATTTCTTTACATCGAGCCCTAACTGTGAACCCATTTCTTCTCCTCCAACAAATTGATTTCTATTAAAATCAAGAAACAATCTCTCCTTCCAAACCAATCTTCACAAGCAAAAAAGGACTTGAAATCGTCCTCAAATTGTAACTGAAGAAGCAA